TGTTCAGTACAGGTAGGGATACAAATTATTAATTAATTAGTTAATCTAAAATTGATTAGATTAAAACGGAAAATTATGGTTATTGTCAAACAAAACAAAGTCTATGCGGACGTTATTATTTAATGATGGAACTGTCCGTCCGTCCGTCCGTCTATGCGTCTTCTTCTGCTTCTCCATCCGCTTCGGATCGCTGGGATAGCAGCCTAAGTAAGGAGGCCCAGATTTGCCTCTCCCCAGCCATTTGGTCCAGGAGTTCCCAGATCAGCTGAGGAACGTAGTCCCTCAGGCGTGTCCTGGGTCTTCCCCTTGACCGTCTCCCGGTGGGACGTGCCTGAAACACCTCACCAGGGAGGCATCCAGGAGGCATCCTAACCAGATTTTCCGGCTCAAGAACATGGCCTTAGATTTGGAGGCACTCATCCTCATCCCGGCCACTTCGCACTCGGCTGCGAATCGCTCCAGTGAGAGCTGTAGATCACGACCTGATGAAAGCAGTAGGACCACATCTTCTGCAAAAAAGCAGAGACGCGATCTTAAGGCCACCAAATCAGATCCCCTCAACACCTTGGCTGTGCCTAAAAATTCTGTCCATAAAAATATTGAATAGAATTAGTGGCAAAGAGCAGCTTTGGCGGAGTGCAACTCTCACTGGAAACGAGCCCGAGTTACTGCCGGGAATGAGGATCAGACTCTGATACTGGTCATACAGGAAGCTCAGGATCAGATCACCAAGGTCCCTCACCTTCAGCTGCCATCCTTTTGATACTGCAGCCCAAAGCTCCATGGGTTAAAGCCCAGCTCCATGATCACAAACGCACCTCATGCTGAATTGCTGCGTTTAATCCCTAATGAGGGAAATTTAAAGTACTCTACTGAGGCCCTCCTGCCAGGTTGCTCGCTAATTTTTCTCTGCTGAGCTTCCATGGAAAAAACCCTCCTGCCTGCTGATGTAAAAGGCCGCATTTCAGGCTTACTTTTGCTAGGTGGTGTTGGCTTCAGCTGGTTTGTATTGTGAGGTGTTGTGAGGTTGTCTTGAAACACTGGCTCCAACTTGCCTTCACGCTGAAGCAGAATTCTTTGATTACTTATCGATGGTGTCTTGGGTAGCTGGAAGGTTTTTTCCTGGATCGGTGGTAGAACTGGGACTTTTTGATCGTTGGTTTGTGGTTCAGCTTTTGGTCCTTCCAAAGCAATATAATCTTCAACCTCAGTCTCTTTGCTTTTCATTAATTTCTTCAAATTGTCATGTTGTATCTTCTCAGTCATATACATATCTGTCACCTTAAGCACTTGGTCATTGGCTTTTTTAATGTCATTTAGATACCTCGGCCTGTATTCTAGAAGCAAGTTTAACTGATTTTTTAGGTATGTATTTTCTCTCTCCAGGTTTAAAATAGTATATTCTGTGTGAGGTAAAATGTTGTTCGCAGCTGCAGCCGCAGCCGCAGCCGCAGCCGCTCTCTGTCGTCTCGTCCTGGAGGTCTCAACCTGATACCGCTTGAGTTTTCTCACCATCTGTTGTTTTTTCTTCAGACCTCTAGGTGTCCTCTTTTGGTGTTTTTGCACCGCTAATACACCTGTAGATGAATTGATCCTTGCTTTAAACAGTTGCTTAGTAGCTTCCTCCATTGGATCTTTTGGAAGTTTTTTCTCAAGACTTTTATTTTCCTTGTCTGCCTCTTTCAACCGCTTTTCCAGAGCTTTTACCTTGCCCTCAAGAAGTCTGTACTTGTCATTTTCTCTCAAAATCTCTCTATTCTTCATGCTGATTTCGTCAGTCTTTCGGGAGACCGTAAACTCAAGCTTCTTCACTTCACTTTGGTACTTTTCAACCTTCACTTTGTATGCTCTGATTTCAGACATCATTTGTTTTGAGTCCCTCTCAAGGTTTTTTAAAGAGGTCTGAAGCTCTTTGACTTTATTTTTGTTGTCTTTTACCTCAGACAACTGAGTCCTGTGGGAACTCCGGTTCTCTACCTCGTGTTTTATCTTTGGGATTTTCTGACTTTCCAGGTGTTTGTTTTTCTTGAGAGAGCTGTTTAGCTCTTTGGTGATTGAACTGATTTTCTTATTTAAAAGCTCAATTTGTTCATGAGCTTTTTCCAAATCCTCCTGCAGTGGGTTCTGCTCGGTCAGTAAAGTAGATCTCTCCCTAAGTCTTTGTAAAACATCTATAACCAAGATAACCAATTCATCTTTAGTCATTTGTCTAATTTGAGACTGTGTTAATGAATCAATGTCAATTTGCGACATTTTGATTGTCCAAGCGATGTATCAGAAAAGCTACGAAAAAAAATGCAATGTTAAGTCTAATACGGTAAAACCAAAGCTGCTACTTCTACAAATTTGATTCAGATGCAGAACATTAAAGGCATCTGTTTCTTATGACATCACAACACTTTGACATCATTAGATTCCATCAGTGGAATAATGTAATGTATGCTATGTTGCTAGGCAACAGCAAACCCAGCTCACTTTCCAGCCTCCTGGCTGTTTCTACTTTATTGTACAAAACAGCCAAATTTTACAAGCACATATACTTTTTATACAATATCTTGAGTGACTAGGAGTCAGTGATTACGCTAAGAGAAAGAAACGAAGGGGTTACAGAATGACATGAACGTTATATGACCCATCAAGTGATTATTATTAGAAAACTAGACATATTAAATTCCTGAATTTAAGGCGGGCCCTTTAATTTAGACCAGGCATCCGCCTCTGGAAAGAGTCAGGAACATCCTTTGCACAAGAACTGAGGGTGATGTGATTAAACGTCGCAGTGCAATAACAAAAACACAACACGCGAATGTCGCGTAGTATGCTCAGACTGACGGTTATCAATTTTGCATATCTCCTTGTTGTAGCTCCCTTCTCAGGATCAAGCAGAACTTTTTGATACCACTTTTGTGGGGGTGCACGCAGCGGTACGAGCCGCATTAAGGGTGATGGAAGAACAAATAACTTCAAAGAAAAGCCTTTTTGGGTGTAGAACAATAGGCTCCTGCCATGCATTGCTTGGGCAGGCCCCAATAATACCATAACACTACATTTTAGAAATGACCAGGAAACCCCAAACTGTCCCGACTTAAAGGAATATTTATTAAAAATAAAACAAATCAGTTTAAAATAAAAAAAAAAAAAAAAAAGTTCAATTTTGAACCAGAAGCTGTCAGAAGGTGTATTTGATTATATTACCCACCAAAATGATTTGTTTCTGGTTATGTTTATGTTTATGGCTGAAATGTGCTAAAACTTGATTCATAACTTCCTTGTTTTGCGCACAGGACCAAAAACAGATACATGATTCTGCAACACGAATCAGTTTTCTGAGCAGCAGAAGCAGCAGCCAAATCATGCAGAACTCCTAATCTAATAACACCAACAAGAGCTTAAGGTTTCACCAAATAACTTCCATCTGACAGCTTATAAATGCACTTAAATAAGCGAGTTTAAGTCTTTATTTATGCCAGTAAAATGTGTGAGAAAAAAATAATGTTTCTCCTGGAGCCACTGACAGCAGGACTTACTATGCAGGCTAATTAGAATATAACTACATGTTATGTTACATTTAAACCAGCTATCAAACGCCTGTTTGCCGTCAGAATGAATGTGAAATAGTTTACCTAGAACAAACACTCATTACGATAAGAATTAAAGGCACAGGAGGATTGTGAGATCCTCCTGTGCAGGGCATAATACTTTTTGGAGAGAGAGCTACTAGATTAACATAATTTATTACATTTAATTTAGATAGTTATATATTTAGAGTATTCTCGTGACCAAATATCAATTAATATGCAAAACAAATAGAAAAGCTATCACAACACATCGGTTATACTCCTGTCATTAACTGCTAAGTAGCATGCTAACGGTAGTAGCATGCTAGTCAGCCGACTTATTTCCTGCTGGGGTTTTCCACACAGACAGCTTTAAACCAGACGAGCTTACCTATGCCACTAATACCAGTATAAGCAGACAGAGTCCGACTCACCATCCATCGCACCACAACCGGACCACCCTCTTCCTTTTCTCCGGACTACACGCGGAGGCACCCGGCTTATTGCAACCGGCTTCTCCGCTCTGATCCTCGTTAGCGTGGTGTCCGTTTTTGATCATTTCTACGTGTTTACAGAGATACGTTTAATGCTTTGGAGCTGCTTTGTGTTTTAGAAAGTTATTACAATCTGTGCTGAAAGAATTAAACAACAAAAGTCTTCAACAGGTCAACTCCGCTTCTGGAGATCGGACGGAATGTCACTGAACACCGGCCAACGCCTCCGATTGCGTCACACCGATCGAATGTTCTCACGATGACGTGGTGATTGCATAATTAATTGAAAAAGAGATTTAAAGAAACAGAGCCCGAATTTGAACCAAAAACGTTTGACTTAAGTTTAGAGATAAACTGACGCATTTGTACATTTTTTTTAATGTGAAAACTCCTAAAGTTGTAATTTCACGCAAATTACCAAGTCTAAGTTATAATTTATGCTTAACCTCAAGTCTTGGGACTGTAATGGAAATTTTTATAATGTGCTCCTCACCCCTCTTGTGCTTTAGATTGTGTCTGATGAAATCATTGTGTTTGCATGATTTTATCATGAGATTGGCCAAGCTGCTCTCCTATAGACTTCCACAGTGTGACGTAACAGCAGAGACTGTCTGTGATCCAGGAGACAATCGGGGCGATACTTCGTCAACCCAGAACTGAGACTGCATTTCATACGTTAAGTAACAACCTCCTTTCCTTACCAATAGACAAATGGCCAGGCCATCGGGGTTGGGCTCCACAGAATTGTTGGTACATCACAATCAGAGATTCACACCTATTGTTTAATCAAGTCTCTCTTCTCTGACCAGAACCTATAAAAAGACTCCCTCGACTCTGTATTCCTTTTCTCACCTTGCAAGGTTTTAATAAATTTCTTATTTCTTCTCATCCAGACTCTTGTTAAAGCAATTTTTTTTCCCACGACAGGACCCCCAGAAGGAACTCAACATAAGCAACAAAAGTTTTTAATATTCTGGTTTTTGTTTAGCATCTGAATATCATCTTCAAAAAGAAAAATGTTCAAGTTTAATACCAGATGGTAGTAATAAACCATCAACAAACCATCTTAACATACAATTCTAATACACAGTTCTCAAGCTGCTTATGTTCCACACATTCCAGCAAGATACTGCTCTTGTAATTAAACCCGTTGGCATTAAAATGCCAAGAAAACAAACAAAATGTTTTATAAACACTAGCACCTCTGGTGTTCCAATACGAGTTACAGTATTAAATGGTAAACATTGTTTTTTTTTTTTTGTCTTATAAACAAATGCTTTACAAAATGCACCAAGGGAAAACAGAGTCCTCTTCACATTCAGGTTTAACACTGTTTTCAGTTTTAGGAGCTGTGAACCCAACCTCATAAAAGCTGCTCCCTGTTTTTGATTTAATAAATTCGCAATAACAAATGACCTTCCTGAGACAAAAAATAATCAATGTAATTGTTACCAACCAAATAAAACATTAAGTTATCACATAAAATAAGAAGTAACCAACATATGAGTAAAGTATGAAACTCTTCTTTTCTTACACCTCCGTAAACAAATTAAGATAATTGTAAAATAACCCAAAACATATACAGTTATGATGGCAGGTTACAGAACGACTACCAAGGTTAAGAAATAGTGTACGTAAACTACAACCCCTTCAAAGTAAACGCAAATGTACAGCAATGTAAAAAAATAAAATGTATGCGACTTTAACAAGCAACTTTTGAAAAATGGAGTAAAAATATATCTTTTGCATGTAGAAAATTTATCAACAGTACAAAACTCAATTTTTTTTTTGCTGCCTTACTTCTTCTGAAACGTTTCATTGACAAACAAAAGTCTAATTTTTCCCAAACGAACACTAAGGTAATTGACAGTTTACACGGTAGCACCAGAAGAACGATAATAATGTTTATCTAGTCAATCTCCTACCAGCAGGCAACATTGTTAAATCAAATTAGTTGCACAAAGGCTTGAAGAAAAAAAAAAAAGATTAAAAAATAAAAAAAAAGCTAACATGGTGCTGTGTATGCATATGGCGCATTCAGATGAGCGAAAAGTGCAGGAGTGTTTTCATTACTGTCCAAAACCTGAAAACTTCTTTCATCAAGATCTTTCTAAGACTTTTTAACCAACATTTTTCTTTATAGTAATTTCCATTGCTCAGTAATCCCACAGCAACTGAAGTGGGTTAAAATTGCAGTTCTTATTAACCCCGATCTGGTAACTACTGTAAAAAAAGGTAGCATTAAAAAAAAAAAAAAAAAAAAACTGCTACATGACGGGAGCTACTTTTAATTCCTGCTGCTGCTACAGAATGAATGTAGAACAAAATAACAGTGCAAAGAGCTTTATGTAAATCTCATCCCTCAGACACATGCTGCATGTGTATATTTATAATGTCAATACAGGCAGCAGCAGCATCTTAAAGCTGGAGTCTGCGCTCATCAATAAGATAAGGAACATACATCACTGGTAGCACCTGAATGCACTTCATCATCTAAAAGAACCTTCCCTCAGTTATGCTGCTTTTTTCTTTTTTTTCCTCCTGCCTTTGTTGTAGCCTCGACCGAACCAGCCGCCCTGCAGCGACGAGGTTTCCTCCGACGGCTGCTGCTGCTGGTTCTCGGCGGAGGGGCTTTCCTGGCCGTCGGGGGCAGCTAAGACCTCACGGTTATGGCTTTGGACTTCTTCTGGGCGAAGAGGCGTAGCTAGTTTGAAAATAGGGTCCTCTGCTCTGAGGAGACAATCACAAAGAAAAAAAAAAAAACCCGTAGACAGTCAGCCATTTTGTTTTGTTGTTTACATTTTTGCGTGCTTTCATAAAAGTATAGTGGCTTGTAAAAATGATTCAACATTCCAATTGCAAACTTACTAAAATAAAGTCACAGGACTGACCAAACTATGAAAAAAAAAAGTACGGCTTGTAGTTCAATAAAAACTATACATGCGGTAGTGCAACCAACTGCCTTCAGACGATATCAAATTAGTAAATAGAGTCCACCTGTGGGAATACCAATCTCCGTATAAATCCAGCTGTTCTGTGAAGACAGCTACAATGGAAAGGCTTAGGTCACATAATATATGTGTATTTGAGAATGGCTCAGTCAAAGTCCAGATTTGAATCCAGTTGACAATCTGTGACAAATCAAAAATAATGTTCTCATTCCCATCTGTTTGAAACTGAGCTGTTTCGCAAAGAAAAAAAAAAAATCGAAAAATGATGTTGCAACACTGACAGAGACAGCAAAAGGCTGTTATTGTAATTTATATCGGCATGTGATTTATTTTAGCCCTGTTCACCATTACCAGCATCTCCAACAGAAACATCCACTTATGTCCTTATTAGAGGAAGTTAAACGGAGCATCGTTTGCAACCCTGTTGCTTTATCCAATCCATACCTGTCGTATTCAGGAATCTGGATGTTCAGCTCCTCCATGAGGAGACTCATGACATCGTCACACTTGCCGTGAATTTTCAACACGGCCAGATCATCTTTTGGAGTCCACTGAAAACAGAAACGGGAACATAAAGTCTGGTGCAGAACATGAAGGCATTTAAAAAAAACAACAACCATCAAATCGACCGTACCTGCAGATTCACAATGTAGAGTTTGGGCCTTTTGTTTGCAGGCCTACTCATGGACCACAAGCAAGCATATTTCTTTAGCACCTGTTAAAGGAAAAAACAAAGTCAAAACTCATTTATTTATGTTAGATGTGATTAGGTAGCAAAGAACTAGACTTTCTGTCACAACAATAAATGTTACTGGTTGATGAGCTGTCTCAGAAATGATTGTGATTATTTCCAAGCAATTTACTGATGATGCAAGTTCAGCCTCTCAAAGACTAATAAACTTTCATGTTGCACAGAACACGCCACAATGGAACTGGAAGACATTTATTTTGAATATCTAAAATAAAACACAACAACCAACAAAGAGGAAATACAAAATCTGCCTTCAGACTGGAGCCCAAGCAGAGTATGACGTCGGCCTCGTTGGCAGCCTCCGCCGCTCCCTTCCAGTTCAGTGGTTGTTCCAGGGTCCCACGTTCCCCAAAGTGCACTATGGTGTCTCTCAGCTCGCTGCCACAGTGGCTGCAGCGCCGCCCTGTCCCGTGGCGGTGCAGCGACGTCCGCTCCGTCACGTCAAATAAACGCACAAACTCCCTGGCCGGAGAACAGGAAGTGCACACCTGGAAACAGAGACGGTCGGGGCGACTCTGGTTACTTTGGGAGAAACTTCAGCAAGACGGTTTATGAAACAAGTCATGCATTTTGACTGGCAAAAAAAAACAACTTTACTTACAAACCTGTAATCTGTGAAAGCAGATGCCTTTTAGTTGTAACAATAATGAGAACAGCCTGCCTAAATCCTATCTGGTTATTAATTAAGAAAGCCACGTCTCATCTCCACATTCCCACAAACTCATTCTAAAAACAGGTTTATGTAAATCTCTGACCAGAGCTACAGGTCATTTTGAGAGGCCGTAACAAACATCACAAGGCCTAAATCAAAATAAGAATATAGGTAAAAGTATTCATGAAGTTGGATCCCAACTATAATCAAACACAAACAGTGAAGTCAAAAATCCAGCAGCATGTAAAAAAAAAGACATTCTAAAATGTCCACTGCTTTTGCAGAAGAACAAAAACTGAACTGTCTGACAACAACATCCTGATTTACTGGAAAGTAGAAATAATTTTAGTTTTAAGTGACAAAAATCAGTGAGAGACAAAAAAAGAAGCCATGGTCGAGGAGTGTTACCTCAATGAACATGTTGCCATGGAGCTCAGACAAAGCGTGTCGAGGCAGACCGCTTCGCAGGTGAAGTCCATCGCAGTTCTGAGAAACGACATGTTTCACCTAAATTGGGAGAAAAAAAGAGAAGACATTTAGATGTTCCTGGAAGAAAGGGAACAAACATCACCACCTGTTTGGGTTTTAACATACGAGCTTCTCTTTATGCAGCATCCTGATACACATGTGTGTGACGGTTGGTGCAGCTTTGCTCAAGTCTGAAGAGCTATAAAAGAAAACAGAAACAAGAGAGCAAAAATCAGTTCAGAATATTTCTGGAAATGGCTTTCAATTCAGCTATAACTCACCTAACGGTGCGGCCCTTCTGCAGCTGCGTCCACACCCCGTTAGGGCCTCTGTAGTCTGGGATGGAGGCTGCCTAAAATTAAAGTAGTCATCACTTCTGGGAAACCTTTAAGTCACAAAAACACAGAGGAAGAAAGGTCCGGCCTACCGTGCTGATTCCTGCTCCAGTGTAAACCACCAGGTGATTGGCTTGCTTGACAGCTGCAGCCAGCTGCTTGACTTTACTCTTCAATTCATCAGCATCGTCAAACACCTGCAAAAACGCGCATGAGGATAAATATGCTAGACTTATTAGAAATCAGGCAAAAAAAGAGAACACGTATGCTCATTTATAACTTTTATCTATCTTTATTCGCACATCACAATCTCAGCTAATGGGAGCAATTTGATGGAAGGACCTCAGTATAGAACCCTGAGGTACTCCACTTGTGATTTTGAGTCTGTTCTGGTTGTAAAAAAGGGGGCCAATGGGCATACATTTATTTATACCTGCTTGGCCGGTGTATTTGTTCTCCTAGTGACAAAAGTTACTGGCCTACAAGAGTATTTTCATTTTTATTTTTCCATTTGGTAGTCCGCTGCTGAGCTCATTCATTCATCCATCAATTGGTCTCACCTCCTCCTGCTTCCTCTTTAGGACATTTCTTCGGATCTGCCTCCTGCCGAGCTCGTCCACGGCCTCTCTGTGTAGCAGCAGCGCTGCAGCCTCTTCCTCCGACCGCTCAGCTTCAGGCTTCTTCAGAACCCGTCCGACCTGCGGAACAACCGAGAACCCTCTCAGAATTACCTCCATGGAAACCACAGATTTAAAGCCCCGACTGCTACATTAGCCTGCTAATGCGGTACACCGCTATCTAATTACGCTTTTCAAATGTCGTCTTACCAGTCGGAAAACTTTTCTCTCTCTTTCACGTTGTAGTATTTTAGCTTTTTCCAACGCTTTTCTCTCCGTCCGGGATGAATTCCCGGTCTCCGGATCCTCCTCCATTCCGACTCCGGTTAGCTGGAAACAAGCTAATCTATTCAAAACAAAGCGACCGAGAGCGGAGGCGGACGTTAGGAGAGTAGATCAACACGACGAGGCGACAGACAGCGACCCCTGCTGCTCGGAGTGTGAAACTGCACTTAGATTCAGAAAGTTTAGAAAACAAATCCTTCCAAATAAACCAGTAAAGAAACTGAACTGTAAATGGATAGCATCTCGTTTCCCTAATTTTAATTTCTAACCTACTGAAATTAATTCCACATCAATATTGCCATGCTTTGTTGCTACGTTTGGCATTTTGTCTGTCATCTCATTTCCATTTACCCCAATATTTACTAGTATTCACAAAAATACTACCATACACCTCATTCTTTGTGTTGGATACATTGTCTGCTGTAACTGAGAATATCTCCTCTATCCTCTGAATTACTGTTATGTAAACTTTGCAATAATGAACTTCTGAACCAGTGATTGTTTTAAGTGACCTATCATACATCACTCACCCTTTTGAACCACTGTAAACAAATTCTGGAAAAAATACCACTCCCATCTTGTCATCTGAATCTTTTGATGCATCTTTGCAGATCTGAATGTAATTATGAAAGCTATAAATACAATTGATTTTTCAGAATCAGTATTTTCAGAAACATACCAACAGAAAAAAAAACACAATAAGAAATTTTTATTATCAAATATAAACAAATAAATACCAAACATACTGAACCTTTGTACACAAGAATGTAAAAAAGCAAAAGTCTACACATACTATGGCAAATCTGCAATTATAAAACGGTACAAACCGTAAGGCAACAAATGCTTCCAAGCATGAAAAACACCCATGTCTAAAATGTGACAGTGACATTTGGGTATGTCTGAGAACAGAATAAGCTAAAGTCAATGGAGCCAAACTGTGCCAATACTATGGAAGGCCAAGAGTGCTAAAAATGAATTGAAAATAAACTATTTAATTGTGACACTAGTAACTCAAATTTGATTAAATGTCATTCTGGAAATAATGGTCTCATGTGCAGCACATCTGTTGGGGGGATTAACACTGCTCCCGCCAAGCTGATTGACTTGCCTTGCAGATAAACATTTCCGTTATCAAAGTCTGTAAAAAAAAAAAAGAAGTAATTAAACAGTTTAAAATTATGGCACTGCAGCATTGAAACCATGAAAGATAAAAAGTTAAATAACTATACACAAATCTGCATATAACGCTTTAAATATGTATATATGCACAGACACATTTAAAAAATGTAATAATTTTTGGCCTTCCATACGTCACCTGACTTTGATGGAAGGCACATAAAACAACATTTTTTTGTTTGTTTTTTTGTTTTAGCACAGATGCAATCACTAGCTCCAAAATGTGAGCCATGAATTAGGAGCCAAACCGCCGGAGGCGTTTGTTTTCAACTCTTTGAGAATATTCTGTCCTGATGAGCTGCGATTCCTCTCCTGAAAATTCTGAGCAATACAAGAAGCAGATCAGATAAATAATTAGTTTTCCTGAAACAGCATCTCTAAATCTCCTGTGTGTCTCCTGGGCTCGGTCAGCTACAACATCCGTTTAGATTTTACATCTAAAAGGTTTGTTATCCAGCATTTATTCAGTTGGCTGAGGGCGTTGCTAGAGGAGTTCTCACTGGGGCCAATTAGGAGAGTGTCATCGAGGTCTAGACGAGCAAACGCTTTTGGGAACCCTCTGAGGATTTGCTTTAAAATGTCCTCGGTTTTTTGTCTCCTGCTTTTTCTCGACCGAGAATCCAGACTTCGGGCCGGTCCGCGCCGCAGACCCCCTGTGACATTCTGCAGCCTTTTTCTGAATCCTGCAGGGGAGAAAAGATGCTTTTGATTATCTGAAATTTTAAATTACTTATGCCACACAAAATCGCTAAAGTGCTCAAGACAAAAAGAATTCAAATTCAGTGCCAGAAACATCACTTTGAAAAATCTAACTTTTAATTTGATTAAAATTATTCAGTGGAGAAGAAAATCATTACTCTGCTGCCAAATCTGATGACGACCCATTTCCAGTTCTGTGTAAGAATCCACCGGATTTTTATCTGAAGTTCTACAAAATTCTGATTAACCTTCCAAAGTAAAGGATTAAAAGACTTCTTGGTGGCACCAATAAATATGCCATCAGTGATTTCTGCTTAGAACAATTACTTTTGAGTAATTAATACAAGATGAATGTGTTTTAAGGCTTTTAAGACATCTTTGACTGGGGTGCCAATAACTGTGGCTGGTACTGTATATATTTTAATGCAGGCTGGATTCAACTTGTAGTGAACAAACTCAGGTACTGAGGGAAAACTCACATCCTTTCTCTCTTCCTCTCCAGTGATTTCTGCGTCGCAGCAGACAGAGAACTCTTCCCTCGGGTGCAACCGGCATGTCCGTTCTAAACAAGATTAAACACACACGCAGCTTAGTCAGCAGAGATAGGAGGTATGAAAGAGTAGAAATATATATGCAGAGGACTTGAGTAATTCAGTCTTCTAAACACAAAGGCGCTTTTAGTCTAAATAATAAAATATGTTTGGTTTTAATTTTTGGGCATTTCTACTTTGGTCTCCTTTGTCTAAAGGACACCTGCCTTGATCATTGAAGTGATGGTGCCATAATTGTTTAGAGGGGAATTGTTTTTGTTGCAATCTGTCCAGAAAAGCTATACTTAAGTTTATTCTAAATTTAGTTAGTGTTGACATGCTGTTAGGTCTGAGACGACGAGTTTATGTCTGTTTCAATGAGTGTTGCGTGTGTTACCCCAGGAGGAACTTGCTGCACCCTCTAGTTTAGGTAAGAATGTCTACAATGATTTTCACTGGTGAATATTTTTTATTAATGACGACAAGTAGTGATATCTTCTTGTTTTATTGTTCTTAAAGGGGCGGTATTTTGGTTTTTTCCAGCCACATAGTGCCATTTTATAGCTGAACCAAGTAACTATGTTACCTTCAGCTGTTACAGAAATGCTGTATATGTCAAACTTAAGTTAAAAGAAATTTGATTTCGCAATTTAGCGTCTTGAAATTGGGCCTGTGTCTCTTTAAGAAGCTACTGCTCTTTCGGAAATTCTGCCTTCAGTACATCAGCATAACAATAATCCTCCACTATGCCGTTAACAACTCACTCAGCAGTTCATCAAACTCCCGGTTCCACCAGGTGTTTGCTCGTTGCTGCTGCCGCTAGTCTGAAGGAGCTGAGTGGGAGGAGGGCTGCTCTGTGAGGCAGAAGCTCTGCGAGGCAGAAGCTCTGCTGGAGGAGCTTTGAGAGATCAAGGATTTCTCAAACATGAATGAAAGAATCAAAGCAATCCATGTTTTTGATGAGGGAGTAACATCAGAACATGGTATAAAGCTCGAAAAAGTCGATTTTACATTACACCACCCCTTTAAGGAGAAATCCGTGTCCAGAGGTCAAAGGTTAATGGAAACTGGAGATCTAAAATTGAATACAAAATTCTGATTGGTGCGTCTCTAAATAAACGACAAATGATATTCCATGTGTTGTTTTTTTTATTGCATGTCAAGTCCAGGTCAGAGTGACCAGATAAAAACATTACGGCTAGAAACGAAACACCCATTTTTTACTTTGATTCAACATAAATGAAAAAATAAAATAACTGAGCCATGATACAAGTACGCTCCGTGTTACTTTATTACAGACCCAGATGGTCCAGTATCACCTGTTGTGCACCTGCATCTAATTCCACCACCGCAGGATTTACTGCACACTGTGGGGAGATTACCTGCCGTCTGAGCTGCCTCTCCCTGGCCAGCTCTCTGTCCCATCTGATCAGCTGCATCTGCTCTCCGGCTGGCAGACTGAAGAATATGTCGTAAACCTCGTAACGGGCGGCACGCAGCTGGAGAGAAGAAACAATTAAAAAGCAGAAGATGGTTTTAATGATTAGCTCGTAACGGCGCGAGCTAACAGATGTCTGTACGGCATGTGTTTGTGTTCACACCTGCAGAGCGACTCTCTCCTGCAATAATACATCTTGCCTACTACAGCGATCCCCTCTGCTGGCGCTCTGCTGCTGGAAGGCCTGCAGAAACTGCTGCGTGTCCTACACACACACACACACACACACCAGAGATACACACACAGCAACATATAGAGAGTACTGCAAAAACAGTCATACAGCCTGAGCTTTTCTATATTTTGTCTTGTTGGTGTTTTGTTTGGGTGTAATGTGATAAGAAAAGCACAAAGCAGTTGATAATTGCGACACACTTTATTAAAAATGTGTACAAATGTATTCAAAGTGAGGTCCGGGGGCCGTTTGCGGCCCCTGGACTCAATTTGTGTGGCCTCTCGCCCACAATTCAAGAACAAATTTAATAAGTTAGAACAAAAAGACGACTTTAAATTAAAATCTACTTGCGAAAATGTTAGACGCAACACAAAGTGATCATTGCTCCAAAGCTTCCTGGATTGCCTGCTGTTGTCGTGGTAACTAGGACCACATCTACTTATTGACATATACTCTAAAGTACACCTTGGTGCACCCAACTCTGATTTTAATTACTGTATTAAACCTTGGCTAAATACTGAAAGTGTTTTCAAATGACTATCACTGACCTGTATCTGGTTTTTATTGCTGAGAATAGACAAAACATTTTTTAAGTTTTCTTCAACTGAGCCGAAAACAAAAAGCAAACTGGACGCCCAAGGAAAACGTGTAAAAATCACTTGAAGTTTTGGATCTACGATCTCATTCCTACAATAATCTGATTACTTTATTTGTTTAATTAAAAGAGTTCGTGGCGATGTCGCAGTATGAATTTGATATCTCCAATAGGTCCGATATCAGCCTAAAAAACGAGTGTCGGGTTACATGTGGTTTGCATCTAAAATCTCTAACGTAACAATAGAAGCAGTCCTCTACAGCATTTCTATCCAGCAGCGCTTGCATCCCACATGCAGACCCACTGGCTAATAATAAATCAGTCCATTGTTGTTGTTTCTCCATCACTTGATCAGGCCTTTTCTAACAATCCACACAACAAAATCAGTAATAAAAGTACGTACGATTCAAGCTGATACCACATTGGGTCAATATTGTATCAGCCAACAATCAAAGCTGCGACATCTACATCATTCCAGAAGTGAAAAAGTTGCAACAGGCCATCCCTAATAGTTGATGTTTAGTTTATTGTTGAATAGGATTTTAGTTTTTTTTTTAAATTATCATTTTTTTTAGATATTAGATAGATAGATAGATATTCGAGTGCTTTGAGCTGACGATTTTGACACACGTGACAAAAAAGTTTGGCCACTCCTGGTCAATCATGCAAAATCTAAGAAAGTACATCGATGTTTCAGTTAGTTAAAATAAGAAAACATGAAGAAAAAAAAAAAGTCTCGGGGCATGAATACTTTTGCCGGCCACTTTTTAACATCAAACCGCGATTAGCGTACGGCGTCAGTCCTGCTGTTTTTACTCACCCTTATGGTGCGCACCAGCTGCGCAACTCTCTCCGTCCTCAGCAGCCTGCGAGTTAGAAAACCTTTTACGGCTGCAGCCACCAGGGGGCGGCAGCGCTGCGAG